TTGCAGGTTCTTGCGATCATCCAGAGTGAGTACGATCAGGAAGACGGCCGAAGAAACCAGCTTGCGAAACAGCTTGTCCAGAGGATCGTAGGATGGGAGATTCTGGAAGACGCCCTTTCCAATACACAAGCCGACTTCGGAAAAGCTGCACTCACAATAAAGCAATTAGGGTCTGACGAGAATGCTCTTGGCATTTTCTTGACCAGCATGATCACCAATGCAAGTTTGGTCGATCGATTATCTGAGAATAGAGTGCCTCCCCAACCATCAACCAGCCTTCCACCACTTTGGAGTGGCGCAACATCTGTTTCTCATGATGATTTTATTGCATTTTATAGGGCTTTTGTCGGAGTTGCTGCGACAATAGCCGTATACGCCTGGTCTGACAGCGTTCCTGTTGAGACCTGCCGCGAGCGAACACTGGCCATCCTCAGGTTTTGGCAGAATGTTGATGGTTATCGGGACGTGGGTACTGGGTGGTGAAATACATGCCATCTAACTGACGTTCAAAATTTCAGATTGTCGACCACCTCTTATTACTTCGCCAAATGACTTTCCGCCTCGAATGCATGTTACCTCTCGATGACGATCTGCCGTCGCAAGCTGGCATCGATGCTGAACACATTCTGAAGAATCTCGCCTGGCAGCCTGAGTCAATGCTACATTCTGGCTTTGTTGAAGTCATGCAAGCAATACGGTCTCCCTTGACGTTTATCACTGAAGAAGATGTGTCCACGTTCCAGGACGTCGCAAATCGCGCCAACGATGGACTCCCTTCTGCAGTTCAGGTCATTACTGCTCCTCCGGCGGAAACAATCACCAGGAAATCCACGCTTCAATTCCGCGTTGCTTTGGCCATCTTCAGTCGTGCACATTGTGGCGATCAGGAGGCATATCGACAGGATATGATTTGGGAAGATGGCTATTACGACTTACCTGCATATCTTGTGGACCACTTGGTTAGATTGAGTGAAGATGTCCATTCACAATTTACGTACACGATACCTTCCCATACGCCTCAAGAGCTGACCGCCGAAATTTTCTTCGCTTGTGAAGAATTGAGCAGATTGATTCGAAGCCTCTCACTTACGCATCCTCTTCCGAGTCGACTTCTCTTCTCTATAACGCGTGCTGTTGCGAATCTCTTTGTTTGCACGGACTCTGCTGACTTGGCGTTCACGCCTGGATGCGGGGCGTGGACAGCCGCCAGCAGAGTTAGACAGGCATGTGTCGATATGGTTGTGACGCTCGTCACCCCGATGGATGGTGACCTCCGTGGTGAAAGCCTTGTTACTGTCTTGCGTACGCTCCTGCGGCACGCCCATACTCCAGGGGATCATGATGTCGTGCATCACGTCACTCAAATGGTTTGGTTGATAGACCACGTATTGACCTCAGCGCCATCTGACACGACATTTCTCATGAGCCTTGCGACGGATTTGCGATCATTTCTCTGGGTACTAGATACAGACAACAGGGTCCACATCCTTAGGCGCCTTGTCAACCTGGATAATGGAATAACCGGCGTTGGGGAGTGGCTAGTGCTGGACATTTTACATCGCATTCAGCTAGTGATGCAGGTGCTGTCTGGGTCCCATCGTGACTTGGACCAAGAGGCATTCAGACATTGGCAGGTGGCTTCTGTATTGCATTTCATTTCTGACATTCTTCAGAGCTCATCTAGCTTGTCCTCATGGTCCATTTCTACATTCTCTGGTGTGAATGATTGTTCATGCACATTGCACCTATGCCTTGATGCGCTTCTCGACCAGGGAATACTCTATCCGGACATGATTGACATTGCGTTCAATCTTCAACCCCACGTTAGCGCGCTATCCACCGATCTATCCTCCTCCATATTCAGGGTTCTCATCAGAGCAACCGCCGTGGCCTCCTTTCGTGCCTTTGAGGCGGCTTCAGCAATGCTCGAGCACATTCCGTTACCTTCGGCTGAATCCGGTCAGGCATTTAGAGAGATCTGTGAAGCGCTCCAAGCGGTGGCAGGCGGCCTCGAAAAAGAACAGACAAGACAGAAAGATGTAGCAGAATCCATTTTCCGATTTATGAAATCAATCACAGGCGCAAATCCTGAACACGATGAGATCACTTTATCAATAAAGAGGGCTTCTTTGGAGGACTTATGCCAATATGTTCGCGAACATCTTCCTGAGGCAAATGAAGAACTCGACAGCATTCGGGCCAGCCTTGACACCGTTAATTTCGGCATGCCCACAGCCGTTCTCGCTACAGCTCCCAAAGGCGTGGAGATGCCCCTTGGCAGATGGGAAGAAATATTATCACGACAAATACCAACACCGAAGACCCCACCACAGCATGGATCCAGCCAGTCGGCCGACATGCTGGGGCTTGTGACCGTTTCGCCACCAAATGCATTAATTCGCTCGCCAGAAGTAAAAGGTTTAACCAAAACCTATGCTGCAAATGATTTTCGGCAACTCAGACAAACGTCGTCTGTGCGACAAAACACAAGCAGACTTCCCAGTATGCATGTGGACGTAGGTATCATTGGTCATGTGGCCGGAAGCCTACTGACGGTTCCTCAGGATTTTGAACTTGGCGGTGCACTACAAACGGGCACATTACCTGTTGCCCCTTTGCCTGCTGCAGGGCTAACCACAGTCATACCTGAATCGGCCGGGTTACCCCCAAACCCAATGCTCGTTGACATGACGCAAGTCATGCCACCATTCGTGCGTCCTCCTTGATTAACAGATATTTAAATATTATGCAATACACGTCCTATGTGGTCTGTGATGATGTTCTCCGACGTAAGTGTGGCGAGAAAGCATGGGAGAAATTATGCAATGATTCGTCATTGGTCGTAAAGTATCGATCTACATCGGAGTCGTCGAACTCAGATGGCAGCCGTGGAGAAAGTGGTGGCGAGAAATGCCCTCCTTGTGCGGTATCGAGTTGCGGCGGAGCCTTCCCTCTTCCAGTTAACCGATATGTCCGTTTTCGTTTCGCCTTGGCTGGCTGCCTTTCGGTTGTAATAGCGGTTGGAGAAGGTCCTTGAGGATGGACACTTCGAACTGTGAAATGTTCAAGCGCAGGGGCAAATGGAGACAATGTGTGATTGGAATAATTGAGTAGGGATAACTGGGAAATAGCGTTATTGAGACCTGGACGCAGCACAATGGTAGATTCATCATCGGCTTCGTCTTGTATAAACTCGTCAGTTCGTTCGGATGAAACTGATGGTCGGCGGGAAGGCAGGTGGGGTTTGAATGGGAACTCTGGTGGCGAGGATTGGGTTGACTGCGGAGTAGCAAGCGTGTGGCTACTTGACCGTGAAGATGTCGTATGGGAGGTGGAAGGCGTTTCCGACTGTCGACGCGGACCTGACGCAAGTGGGCGACTTTGGGAAAGGCCCAGTTCTGAATAGCCAGTGCCATGAGTGTTTGGGAAGTATGGATTTTGAACGGATGATGACCGCCCTAAGCCTGGTCTACTTGTAATGTGTGATTCGTGCATGTCTCCGACGTTAGGAGAGACAAGGCCAGGAGTGCTCTCAAACGCAGAAAACGACTGCAATTTGGGACGCGTGATAGTTCCGCCACCGACCGCTGGAAATGACTCGTATTCAACGGGTTCAGAAAGCGTGAGGTTTCCTGATGGATCTTCACGGTTTGCCGGATTGAATAACCCAGCGTCGTCCTCGTCACTCCATTCCTCAGTAAGGTCCGATAGGCCTCGTTGGTGTCGGCGCTGAGGACACTGTCTGCCATAAATACTTTGGCTTTGCACAGATTCCTCTTCAGCATCATCTATGCCTGAACCGTCGCCATACAGATTCGGATTCGGAAGCGTCAAAACACGATTCGTCGCACTGTTCACAGACCTTGACGATGTCGTGTGCATGTGTCGGCGTATCGCACTGTCTAAAGAAGACTGTGACAACTGTGAAGGGATTCGAGGTCTTGTCATGAAGGCGCGGTGACGAGAGAAGTCAGGATTTGAGACTGTTTCGACCCCCGCCCTCACAGGCTTTGAGTTCTGCTTTACGAGATACGGAGCCTCGACGGTCGTTGCCTTCACCCATTGCTGGCTAAGGCGATGTATAATTCCAGGTAGGTCTTCTCTAAACATTTGGCGCAACTGTCCTTCAATCTCTGTCTGAATAAACTTTTGAATGACGGCTATGGAATCGAACGTGCTGCTGATGTCCACATTTTGAAGCGGATCTGTTTTGAACACTAGTGTGATCCCCTTTTGCTTAGAAACGACAAGCACAACGTAGGAGTTTAGCTTGAAGTTTGATAGCCGCAATAGCATGGGGACTATAAGTGGTTGGTTGGCAGCAAGCATTCCGCGAGATCCGCTCATGAGATGAATGTCTGGCTTCTTGTGATAAAGGGGATTGGCCTACGGGCAAGTCTTCTCATTATTCGAGACATTGCAATTGCATCTGCTCTTCTCACCTGAACTTTGGTCCTTAAAACGATATACGCGTCTCCTGCGTACGTGAGTCGAAATATGCCTCGAAACTGGCTCATTGTCAGATCTCCTATGTCCCTTATCTCTAGCTCCGGGGGCTGGAAAAAATAAATGAATATGTACCATTTAATGGGGGTCCTCTTTTATGAAACTCACCTGGGTGCCCATCTCCAACTCGACGACTTCTATCCTGTCGGCTATGACAGGTGGTTTGTTGCCCTTATTCAGTGCGGATTCAAGAGTTTGGATTGCATCGGTATGAAATTGATCAGAAAACCTCGGCCATTCGAACGTGAAGGACATGGGAGCTGGTTAAACGCGAATCAGGTCATCGATCCAAGAAAACAGCACGCCGAAGTCGTTCGTACAACTCGTCCTAAACAGGGTAATTACCAAACGCGCGGTCGTTCAAAATTGAATATGTGACGCACCGTCTAGTCGCTGAGACAGTTTGTTCGCCTTATTCCCATCATATCAAACAGCAAATACCTATCATTCCACGAAGAATATTCAACTCATGTCTGTGCAAAAGTTAATGCATGTACCCCCGGTGGGACTCGAACCCACAACCTCCAGATAATAAATGCTTTCGGCGTAGAAGTCTGACGTCATAACCATTAGACAACGAGGGCATCAAATAAATGTTTGCTTAAAACATACATAATGGTCTGGACATCGAACTCTAATAATAGTTAGTCTTCGAGTACAATTTCAAAAAAAACCACAGTATGCGTACTTGCAGTTCTAAGTAACATTTGTAGTACAAAGAAGTATATCCCACAAATCATTGTCGACTTCCCTACAATGCATATACGGCTCGCATTAGAATAAGCATAAAGGTCTTCGTAGCGAGGTCCTACAACTGTACTTGTACATATGACTCAAGGTATATTTCTTATACAACACCATTAGCTCCAGGCTTGTCCTCGACAGAGGCATCATCATCCATTGAAGCACTCTCACTCCTCTCAGCGTCATTGTCGTCATCCTCGTCCGCCATGAGCTTTTGCGCTTTCTAGATTCCCTTGTCGTCAGCGATAAGCAATAATTGATGACATCTGAGACATCACCTTCATCGCTTCAGCTTCATTGGAGTAATGTCTACCCCGGGCTCGAACAAATGCGGCGTGTTTTGCAGCAGCTACTCAAAATGGTCAAATAGTGCACATGCAAATGCATCTCCCACTGACCTTCCTCGTCCATCTCTTCCTCGACCTCGACTTCGCCTCTTTCGCTGCTTGAACTCCTGATCTCTTTAGTGGCAACCTCACTCGGTAGACTAAAACTTGTGCTACGACTGGATGATACACTGCCAGACCTGCCAGACACCGGAGGTCTCCCGCCACTGGAGACCGATGTTCGACGAGAACTTCGTTCATCAGTAACATCTGTCGGGGAGTTCATGGTTGTCGGTGATTGCGACCTCCTCGGCGAGCTGGACTGGCTGGAGCCTATGTTACCCCTCCCACCCAGGTCTAAAGACGGAATATCTGTTCCAGCATTATTCCACTGCGAGTATTGAAACGTCACGGCACAATGCATACCTCCTTCAATCTCGTCTGTCTCTGCATTGTATCTCACATAAGGGGTCTTTGGCTCGGTGATCTTCATCAGACTATCCTTTTGAATCTCTGTAAGGGCGAGATTCTGCTCGTCCCACTGAAGGCTGCTAGAACCGATTGAGCGTATACATCTCAGTAGTAATCGTTGTACACAGACTGTTGGCCAGATCCTGGCGTTGGAGGAGCATTCTTTAAGATGCCCTTTGGCTTTGGATTGGAGGCTGATCGTGGCAATGGATGGACAGGCCGTTCCGGTATGAATTCCTCTGAAGACATGGTACAGGACAGTTGGAAGAGATTGACAGATAACAAGCTTAAGTACCACCACTCATCCGGGAGTAGATATGGCAGAGAGCAGGGTCGTTGAACCAATTCGGCAATGACGTAATGCTCAGGTGGCAACAACAAAAATTCGCCACATGCCATCCTTTCGACAAATCAAATATGTCGTCGGGCAGCCAAACGCCCCATAAACACAATGGTTTTACGCTTGCAGGGATCCTAGGCTCAAATCACGAAGAAATCACCCATCCAGGCGTCAATCCCAATGAACCAGCAGAGGGTTGGGATGAGGAAGATACTTCGAACTCGCCGAAGGACGGGTTTTGCGTCGAATGCGAAGGTTTGTGCTGCCCATGAATTCGTCCTTCAATGGCAGACTCAAATTACAAACAGACCAACCCGCGTGCGTGTTTTGCGAAACTTGTGTGGACAACTACTGCGAAGTCTGTTTCGCCGCACTGCACCGCAAGGGAACAAGGAAGGGTCACACTTCCAGGAGCTCGAAAACTGGACCTAGCAAGCGGAAAGAGGTTCAGGAAAATGGCACAGCTAACGGGCAGGTGGACAGTGAAGACATGGTCAGCCTTTCCAGCGAACTCCAACCGGATGTAACGTTACTTACAGTAAGAATAACTAGACAATAGATGTGGCGGAAGGATCAGACAACGAACAGGAAATAGATGCTCCCCCAACTGTCGCTCCTCAACCACTCCTGGGTGCGCAACCAGCCATAGGGTCCGCAGTTGGGGAGTGGTTCGTTGAAAGATCGAAATACATTCCATTGCGGTTGACGCTTGGGGAAAGAAAATACCTAAGACTGCTGGAAGCAGCTTTGCAAGTCTCTGAATATACCGACAAAATAGACACACTCGGCTTCGGGCTGTCCAAAGCCAAACGAATAGTTCACCAGATTCGGGAGCTTTGTGCGATTCTTTCGGGTTTGGTTTTAGCAGCTGACTACAAACAGGTCAGAATCCACTTTGGTCAATAGCACCCGCGGGTTTTAAATGTTTCTTAGGGCCAAGAGTTGTTTACCGACCGTGATTTTGAGTCAAACTCGGAATTTTACCAAAAGATTTTTGAACTAGGTCGTCGGCATAAAATTATGAACCCTGACAAAATGCGGAACACGTACGGAAAGCTGATATACCTCCTTCAGGTGCGCGTGCACAAGCGATCTCTCCCTTCCCTTTTTTGAAACCTCAACATTTAGGACAGTCAAACACCAGAAGTCAAGGACATACTGAACTTCTCCTGTGTAGGGCCGATACAATCGGTTTACATGCTCCTTGCAGAGCACAACGCACTCGATGTTCTGCGCGATAAGCTTATAACCGTTGCCACAATGGAAATTTATGCCGAAGACCGCTCACGCAGGGAGGTACAGAAGGCCATCAAAACCAAAGAACGGGCAATTGAAACTCTATCCGAACGTTATAAAAGAGCGGGCCTGACCCAGGAAAGTATCCGCCAGTGTCTTTACAGTATTGGTGACAATCATGCGTTCTTACGGGCGAATCGCGATCCATGCGAGCGAATGATTGGATATCTAAAAGAACACTTCCACCCAACGCAACCCAAGGACAAGAAATCATCTCTTGCAATTCACAGTGGTAAAGGAGGAGCGCGGCTAAGCCATGATCACTCACGACAATACGCTTATGTTTTGCAAAGCCTGACGCTCTGGCGAGAGATATTACACGGTCGGTTAATATCACATACTTTGAAACGTACACGTTTTCAAATTAACTTTCCATTATAAGATATGTTCCATCTATGGTCTCTCGCAGAGCAGGACTTATTGTCTCCCGATATTTCCTACCGGTTGCGTGATACCGGGCAAGGTCTAAATCGTGTCCAACCAGCCCCCAAAACATCTCGCTTTATGCACGCGATTTTGCATCGTGCGCAAACGAGCATTGGTAATTGGGTGGGATCCTCTGTTATCCACATGGGCGACCACAATGTCCCAAATGCGCTCATGTTCATAGGTGAGTAATTTTGTTCTTATTTTATATTATTGCCTCCTAAATCAAAATTTTAGATAAATATTCCCAAGTATACCGCATTCTCTTGCCGATATGTAACACCATATCCCATATCCCCGGCCTTATTGCAAAACCTTCCTTACGGTCGTACATAGAGGATGAGTTCGGGTCAACTGATAACTTGTACAAAGAAATATTGGGAGACTTTTTCCGTCACGCATTTGATGGGTCAGGCGCAGACAACTTCTTTGATGCGGGGTCGTGCATAGATGGTCGTCTTACGAGTGCTTGGAATTGGTGTGGCCAACTTGAGAAGAAACGCTATTTTCCCATCTTCCTCTTGACAGGTATGTGGGCAACCGAAATCTGCTGGACTGTACACTAAAATACTTCCAGGTTTCATTGGGTTTGATGGAGAATGGTAGAATTGCTTGCGTAATGTACATGGTGCATTATGCCCATCCGTGACTCCATAAATAACGTACACAAATGCTCTGCTCTAAAACGATTACATCTAGATGCAACCTACATACCCAGTCCCATCAAAGCAGTAGTTAGACGTTCCGCGATTGCGTCCGGTTCTTGACGGGCCATTTCAATTAAACTGAGCAACTTTTTAATACCTATGTTGAGTCGTCCGGTCCCCATGTCATCGCTTCCAAAGCCTGCACTTTTCAGGTGTGCAATGGCACGCCTCCTATCTTCATCACCAGCAAACAGATCAACCTCTCGCAAAACATGATCGAGTGAACGAAGGGATGAGATCGGCGGGACTCTCAATTCCGAGTCAAAGACCTCCGAAAGTTGTGTTTCGGTAAGCATCGATCGAATGGACGTCGTTGCGAGCACCAACAGCCGGCGGCCCTATTCCCAGATTAGCATGTTAATGTTCAGAAGGGACAGAAAGCTAACCTTTGGCGGTCGACGAGCGAGTAAGACTAAAAGTGCCTGCAGCACGGCGTTGGAAAAGTTTGGCCCAATGGGAACCCATTCTAAACAAATACATTCAAGCATAAATCAAAAGGATAATAGAGTGCCCCCACCTAGAAGACGCTCAATATTGTCCACGACGATGACACTCAGTGGACTCTTGTAACTATCAGAAAAGATCTTGTTGATGGCCGTGATTTTCTGCTGTGGAGAGAACCCGACCATAGCATCCGGAGAAACCAGTTTTATGAAGGGGAATTGCGACGCTTGCGCTATGGTAGCGGCAAGAGCCGTCTTACCAGAGCCAGATGGTCCATACAAGAGAACGCTGACCAATGGCGTGCGTGTCGACGTGCGAACTTGTTCAACAAACAATTGCCCATCACGTAGGATATCCTGTATGCAGATGATGAGGTGGGGTTCAGACGCGGCAACCAGACTTACATCAACTACGCCATCGAAATGAATAATGCCGTTCTGGACGACCTGCTGTAATTCTTCCTCTGAAACACCAAAGGCTGGATGAACTTCGTCAAGTGCATTCATAAAATCATTTCGGTTGACAAGGAGATTGTCAATATCGTCTGAAATTCCCGCCATTGTTCCGACCTGAAAGTCTTCGGTCATTCTGAGAGGAAAAAGAAAAGGTGAGACTAACCTTAACGTGTCGGTTGAATGCAAAACTGGTGGCACTTTTGACAAGTCCGCCTATTTCGGCACCAGAAAAATTCTTGGTAAGGGTTGCGAGCTCTAGAATATCAACGTCGCTGTCCATGACACGATTCGCCCTCATTTTTGCGGTGTGTATATTTAGGATCTGAAGGCGTCCGTGCTCGTCTGGAAGGGATATTTCCATATGAACTTCAAGGC